CAGTGTGGTGACATTGTCTCAAAAGACTGATCTACATATCAGCATGTACCGTGAGAGGATTCAGTGTTTTAATCTAGAGCCTGAATCATCAATGAAATAACTGACGAGGCAAAGATAATTAGTAGATCCCAAACCCTTCAGTGCAAGCCTTTCAAGGAACAGTCAAAGCTCAGTGCAACAATGTTGCTGCACAGATCACCTGAAAGTAAAACTTCAGTCCCAGCAATGGGTAGCTCTGGTTGTCACCACCATAATCATGTGACCAAATCTAGCAGCACTAATGGAACTACCTGATATTAGGTGCTTCCTGATGAGATGATAACAAGAACACACAGCACCTTGCCAAAATATAGCCTGAATCTAATAAGCATCTAGGTTTAACTTTTAGCTCAAAGGAAGTAGAGAGGCACGTTAAATAACAGTGAGAGGAAACAGACAGATGCAGATGTGTTATGTTCCTTCCATAATCCATCAGTCTGGATTCTTCAGTTGAAGTCATTATCATTTAAAAAGGAAGAAATTATTCTGGATTAAAGGAAATTTAAGAGACATAACCAGGGATAACTATTTCCTGGCTCAGCAAAATAAATGACATTAGCAATTTTTTTTTAAAATACCTGAGACAGGCTCAGTTTATTTATTTTTTATTTATTTTTGAAGAGAGAGAATGAATCTTAATATTTATTTTTCAGTTTTTCGGCAGACACAACATCTTTGTTTGTATGTGGTGCTGAGGATCGAACCTGGGCCGCACGCATGCCAGGCGAGTGCACTACCGCTTGAGCCACATCCCCAGCCCAAGCAATTTTTTTAATATTTATTTTTCAGTTGTAATTGGACACAACACCTTTGTTTTGTTTATTTTCATGTGGTGCTGAGGATCGAACCCAGGGCCTCGCACACGCTTGCCGAGCGCTCTACTGCTGAGCCACAACCCCAGCCCAGACATTAGCGATTTTAGTAACAATTGAAAATTTGTATTGAAAGCCAAGTGCAGTGGTAACTCCTGTAATCCTAGCTACTTGTGTAGTAGGGGATTATGAGATTAAGGCCAGCCGAGGCAATTTAACAAGATCCTCTCTCAAAATGTAAAGGACTGGGGATGTAGCTCAGTGGTCAAGTGCCCTTGGGTTCAATCCTTATAGCAGAAAAATAAATAAGCAAGCTTCTCATTCTTAGCTGTAGAGGTAGGGAGGGCCTCTTGTTTCTTTGTATTTTTAAAGTAGAAATCCTGAGGTCCAAAATCTCCATTTGACTGTTTTGAGGGAGGTTATATTTAGAGAAGTATTTTTATAGATACTTTCATACTGGGAACACATTATTTGCATTCTGCACTCAGAAGGAACATATTCCCTCCACTCCCCTGCCCTGTATCCAATTCAAAACAAATTCCAGCCAAAAGCTTATTTGAGGAATTTTAACTGCTCTCACTAAAAAAGTAAAATCAACTGGGTTGGACTATAGGGCTACAGTGCTTTCCTGCAGTTTGGTTATATTTTGTAGATAACTACCTCCCGGTAAAGTAACATTTTAATAATTTTTGCTAAATGTCTCTGACTCATGCCAGCTTTAAAATGTTTAAGTCTAGCAAATGATGACTAGACTGGGAAAGGTTCTGAGCAAGAATTTTATTAGAATATATAATGTAAGGTTCTCAGGGTACAAAGTGGTGCTGGGGATGGAACCTTGGGCCTCAAGCTAAGCAAGCCCTCTACCACTGAATTACAGTCCCCAGACCCCAACAATTTATTTCCACTGGGCAAGTCAATTTCAGAGTTAGATATTTTGCATACTATGTCATTCACTCATTCAATAAATATAATAGCATCCCTCTTCTGCACTACAGTGAAAAGCATTATTAGTGTCATTAGCCTGGGCAGAAACCTTTGAGAGCAAGACACAAACGGAAATCCAACTACTCATGTCAGCAATAAGTGGTGGGATTGAGGCTCTGAGGTCCTTCAAACTAACCAGTTGGTTCCAGCAGCAGTTTCCAGGATCTCTGAAAGTCATAAACACCAACCTCTTGCTCAAAAATGTATTACTGGTATTGCAAAAGTTTTACTGATTGAGCATCCATAAGTAGATCTTCCCCATTGAGCTATATAGACTGGCTAGAAGTTTTACCATGGTATAAGATTTGGGCAGAAGAAATTCCTGTCCCTGAGTGCATGATAAGGTTTCAAGACAAGAAAAGATGGCCTCTTGACACTTGAAAGCAAGCTGCAAATGTTGGTTTCTAAGCCTAGTTTTTAGACTGAGGACCAGTCTAGGGCTTCAAGTGTCAATGCTTTGAATCTTTTCTGCCCTTCTCAGAATAAGGGAAATAATAGGACCAAGGGATGTTGAGAGTAGACTAAATCTGCAAGAACAAGAGACATCTGAGAAGAAGGGATGGAAAAATCCCTTTGAGTACACCTAGTAAAACTTAAGAGTATATCAGATAGCCCAGCTCCAGGAGCGGAGGGGACAGTGTGCTTCAGGTTTAAGATTTGTGCTGATCTCCACAGAAGAAATTCTGTAAGGGTGAAACCTGTTGCAGACTGAGGGGAGAGAAAGAAGTGTGGATCCCAGCAACCTCCTCCTTGTGGAATTTGACTGCATAACATTCCCTTTCCCTCATAACCCAATTTTTCCAGCCATTGCCGGTTGACATAGGACCTAAGATTCCATAGGAAAACCCCTGAATTGTGTTCATAATTAGAATCCAGACAGGACAGACAACTAAGGGGGTAGCTAGATGGAAGCCAGATTACAAGAAGGAACAATGGGGGCGGGAGGGGTCCATAAAAAATGGGTGTAGACAAAGTCTGACTAGGATGAACTTCTGGGGCTTCAAGATGGTGGCTCAGAATGTGCTGTGAGTTCAGACATGTTCAGTTTTTGCCTCCTGATTGCTGAGACAAAGGGAAGACTGGTTAACTTGGGAGGATGTGATACTCCTCCTTCTTCCAGCCGTGGTACCAAGGCAGCGGTATGTGGGAACCAGCTCATCCTTTCTGGCAAGCACTGATGATACCTCTCTTCCCAACTCTGCTCAGTGACCCATATTGGTAGTTTGAAATTGGCCCTAGTGGGAGTATTTACACCATCGTAATTAACAAAAGGTACAAGTTAGGACTGCTGATTTGTATAAAATTTCTCCCCAAGACCTGGTTGTTAATATATACCATCAGACCACTAAACAAAATGGAAAGAGGAAGAGCGAAAAAGAGAAGGAAAGAAACACAAAAGAACACTCCCACATCAGTGGAGGGCAGAAAAGGCATCGGTGGAGGCCAGCAGTGGATCCATGGACAGTGGTTCAGGTCTCATGAGTTGGCCTGTCCCTTTTCTTCTCCATTGTGCTTCTCAAGGCAGAATAAGGGCCTGGTGTAGTGACCCAAGCCCGAAATGCACCCAGGTGTAATCCCAGCGGCTCAGGAGGCTGAGACAGGAGGATTTTGAGTTCAAAGCCAGTCTCAGTAACTTAGTGAGGCCCTAAGCAACTCAGCGAGACCCTGCCTCTAATAAAACATAAGAAAAGGGCTGGAGATGTGGCTTTTTAAGTGGTTAAGCACCCCTGGATTCAATCCCCAGAATTAAAAAAAAAAAAAAGACTGTCTTCCTGGATTCACCAGTCTTGACGGAAAATGGCATGGTGTTCTGCCAGGTGCATGATGCACGCTTGGAATCCCAGTTACTTGGGAGTCTGAGGCAGCAGGATCATGAATCATGAATTTGAGCCCAGCCTGGGTGACTTAGCAGGACCCGTCTCAAAAAAAAAAAAAAAAAGGAAGAAGAAGAAGGTCTTGTTTTGTGGGACAAACCTCTAGTCACCTCTTGTTCTTACCAACGTGGCCTCTATGGATGTATGTCCAAGGACCTTCAGCAACATTAGTGCTTTCAGGAGCATCCTTTTGAGCTACAGCCAAAATCAGAGGCTGGGCTGGTGCTCTTTTGACATTCTCCCTCATCTGCCCTCCCAGGATCCCCGCGTGTGCTAGGCAAGCCTTCTACCATTGAGCTCCATCTCAGGGTGACTCCCTGTTGTCACCGCAGCTGAGGCTTGCTACCCACTGGTTCTGAGCCTGAGGCCTGCTTCCGGCCTTGCCTGGCCTTCGAAGGGCCTATGTACAGCAACCCGGCGCGTGGACCAGTCCCCACCAAACACAGCTCCTAGTTCTAGGCGCGCCTTCCCCACATCCAGGAGGGGGCCCGACGCTAGAGAGCTGCCACTTGGCATCAAGACGGGCGGGGGGTCCCGGGGTCATGCAAGCTCCTAAAGGCGCATCTGCACGAGATGCACAGTGTTCTAGAGTGGCGGTGCGGGCGCAGAGCTGTCTGCACAAGGCTGAGCTTGTTGGGCCCGGCGCCTGAAACCGAGGTGGCGCTGGGAAGTAAGATGGGAGACGATGTGGGAAACCTCTGTCTACTGAATAAATATCTCCAACCGGGATTGGGGGAGCTTTCTCTAGCTCGGCCCTCGGGAATCCGGAATCTATTCAGAGGCCCGACGGCCCGGGCGCACGACAGGCCTCGGACTCTCGCGGCGCCACGGTTGGCCGCTTTGCCACCGAGGGCCAGCTGCAAGGCGCCCGCCCCAGCGTCCCGGCGCGGCCTCCGCGCCCCTCCAAGCTCCTGGCGCAGCGCGGACACTGCGGCTCCGCCGCCGCCACTCCCCCCACATTCCAGAGGCCGCAGCGCCGTCTCCTTCCTCGCATTCCTGCCCCCGCAAAGGAGTCCCTCCGGCCCCCGCGCGGCCGCGGGGAGGAGGGGGCGCGGCCGAGCGCCTCAGAGCGCACATTCCTCCGCCGCGCGCGCCCTTGAACGGAGCGCCGCGTCCCCTGGCCCGCGCGTGGCCGGCGGAGCGACCCCGGCCCGGCGCCGGCCCCGCCCCGCCCCGTGCCCAGGGGTCCCGGGGCGGGCTCCGGGCTTCGGGCGGACGATGCGGCGGCGCGGCCGGAGCGGCGGCGGGAAGCGGAGGCGGAGGTGACGCGCTAGGGCCGGCGGGCCGGGCCATGCAGCGCTCCCGGGCGGCGGTGGACGAGGCGGCCCTACTCCTGGCTGGGCTGGCCCTGCGGGAGCTGGAGCCGGGTGGTGACTCTCCAGGCAGGGGTCGACGGGGGCCGCGGCCCGGGCCGGGAGAGGAGGCGGTGCAGGCGCTGGGCCGCAGAGGCAAGGGCGGCGGCGGCCCCGAGGCCGGGCCGGACGGACTGAGCCGCGGAGAGAGAGGCCCGCGGCGCGCAGTGGCTCCCGAGCTCAGCGCGCAGCCGGCGGGCAGCCCGCGGGTCAGTCTGGCGGGCTCCGACGGTGGCGGCGGCGGCGGTAGCACCCGCTCCAGCGGAATCAGCCTCGGCTACGACCAACGCCACGGCAGCCCACGCTCCGGTCGCTCCGACCTGCGTCCGGGCCCAGGTCCGTCGTCTGTGGGCAGTGCCCGCTCCAGCGTGTCCAGTTTGGGCTCCCGCGGCTCGGCGGGCGCCTACGCTGACTTGCTCCTGCCCGGCGCCTGCCTTGCTCCGGCTCGCTCCCCGGAGCCTGCTGGGCCGGCCCCCTTCCCTCTGCCTTCTCTGCAGCTGCCCCCGGGCCGAGAGGGCGGCCCGAGCGCGGCCGAGCGACGGCTGGAGGCGCTCACCCGGGAGCTGGAGCGGGCGCTGGAGGCGCGCACGGCGCGGGACTACTTCGGTGAGCGAACTCGGCCGCGCAGCCCTCTGCGCGCTGGCCGGGGTCAGAGGAGAGCTCGGGGTGGGCCAGGCACTGGGCGGGTGGAAGAGGCACCAGGATTAAGAAGCTGTGTCGCCCGCGGGGCTAGCGAGCCGGCGACGTTTTGCGAAGAGCCAAGTCTAGGGTATTCCCAACAGCAGCTAACTGTCTAGGTCTCCCGCCAGAAGGGGCTCTAGCAAATAAGTTGATGCGCTTAGAGACTTAGAGAAAAAGTCAGGTTGGCAGATAGAATAAGCAATTTTTTTTCCTGATCATTTCTTTTTCTTCTTCTTCTTCTTCTTCTTCTTCTTCTTCTTTCTTCTTCTTCTATGCTGGGGATTGAATCTAGGGCCTTATGCTTGTGAGGCAAGCACTCTACCAACTGAGCTATATTCCCAGCCCAGGCCATCTCTTCTTAACCCTTGGTGATTGCTTCTGTTTACCTTCCTTGATGTTTCGTGCTCAGAAGGGACGCCCGGCATCCCCCCCCCACCCCCAGCAGTATGGGGGTGTGGACAGGAACAGGAAGGTGGAGAACCCTGGGTACTCTTGGACTCGCCTGACCCGAGGCTGTGGGGATGCTAGTGGCGGGAGGTGGAGACTGTGGGAGGGAGGAGGAGCCCACCTTGCGGGAGAGGAAGACCCAGCCAGGCACACTGGGCTGCTGGAGGCTGTGCTATGGATATGTATCTTAAAGGAATTGTGCTTCTTATGAATTTGCAAAGCTCACCAGTCTGACAGCTTCTGTTTCCCAGCCCCTCCCTGGCTTTCTCATGCCTTTCAACAACTCTTAGGGAGAGGTGGGGCACAGAAGTATTATAGAGCCCAAGGAGAGAGTATCCCTCCCTCCCTCCTTCCCTTCCAGATAAACCCATAGGGTGGAGGCCCCTGGCTTTAGACAGGTGATTATCAAGGGTGATCGGCAAGCCTGGGAATGAGGCTGTCCTGGGATTTCTATCTTTCTTGCACTCAATGGAGCCAGCGGCTCTGGACTGCGCTCTACTGGATCTTTTGGGATTGAACCTAGGGGGCGCTGAGCCACTGAGCCACACCCCCAGCTCTTTTTATATTTTTTAATTTTGAGACAGGGTCTAGCTAAGTTGCTGAGGCCGGCTTTGAATTCGGGATCCTCCTGCCTCAGCCTCCCAAACCCTGGAATTATACTTGTGTGCCTGGCCCTGAACTGGATCTTGAGAGATGAGGAGGCTGTATATTGCAGGCCAGATGGGAGCATCCCAGGCAGAGAGAAGGAAGTGAGCAAAACAAGGCCAAGGAAGATTTAAGAAGGTCCCAGAGGATTGCAGCCCAGGAGGGGCCAGGGGGTCAAGGGCATGTGTGCACTGAAGGGTTGGCCTGTTTGGGGGTTGGGGAGCACCTCCCATGTGGGGAGACAGGGTGAGAATTTGTGGTTTGGCAGATCTGGTGGTTGCCGGTAGCAAAGAGATGAGAGAGAAGCTCTTGCCTCCTGTGCCAGGCACATGCCAGGAGCAGAGCCATTCCGTTCAAGAGGAACACTCTTCAGTGCTCTCTTGAGGAAGTAGTGGCCATTTTCTGTTCCTTGAATATTACAGAGCTTGGGTGAGGGGTGCGGCTGATTATCCATGGCCACCCAGAATCATTATGTTACTCTGGGTGGCCCTAGTCCTATCAGGTAATTTTGGAAGTGAAGGGGCCAATAGTAGAAAATGGTAGAGGTCAGGGGGCCATCTTTTCTAAAGAGGAGCTGGGGCTCAGCTTTGTAGTCATGTGGGAGTCTGAGAGGACGGACAGATTGTCCCCCCCCCCCCCCCCACAACACACCGAACTTGAGATTTAGATAAACATTTAAAAAAAAAAATATTAGCAACGATTTGTTTGAGTTATATGGTTCTAATGACATTTGACTTTTTTGAGGTACAAGAGTGGCAATTTTGGCCCGGTGGTGGCCCACGCCTGTAATCCAAGTGGCTTGGGAGTCTGCAAGTTCAAAGGAGGATTGCAAGTTCAAAGCCAGCCTCAGCAAAAGCAAGATCCTAAGCTACTCAGTGAGACCCTTCTCTATATATATTAAATAAAATACAAAATAGGACTGGGGATATGGCTCAGTGGTTGAGTGCCCCTGAGTTCCATCCGTGGTACCCACCCCCCCCCACACCAAAAAAAGTGGCAATTTTAAGCTGGGTGGGGTGGCACGTGTCTGTAATCTCAGCAACTCCAGAGGCTAAAGTAGAAGGATCCGAAGTTTGAGGCCAGTCTGGGCAACTTAGTAAGACCCTGCCTTCAAAATAAAAAATTAAAAGGACTGGGAATGTGAATTAGTGGTAAAGCACCCCTTGGTTCAATCTCCAGTACAAAAAAAAAAGTAATATTATATAGTTCAACTGGAATAATAGAAAATTTTACTAAAGGTCGTCTCCAGGTAGCATGAGCACTAGCGATCTCGAGAAACCTAGTGCACAGAGCGTTTCTCTCTGTGCCATCTTCGTCCCTTCTCTTTGGCTCTGGTGCCCGCTGACCTCTTGGTCACTCTCTGTCATTCGGTAATATCTTTGGAACTTTCCCTCTCCTCCCTGAGGTCTCCTGCCACTAGCCTGTCAAAAGCCTCAGGCCCCTGGAAACTCTTTCTGCTGGGTGGCCTGCTGCCTTCTCCCCAGCCACCCACTCCGGAGCCACACCCTGCTTTTGCTTTTCTCTAGCCCCTTCATTTCCAGCAGCTGCTTCTCACCATGACCTCAGATTCCTCTCAGTTGTCTGCCCAGTGACCTGCCGCCCTTTCCTGATGCTCCCCCAGGCTGAGGGGCTCAGAGGATGCTCCTGGGACCACTGCAGAGTTCTGGACTTCAGCCTCAGTGGACTCCCTAAGACTTGGTCACTTGGCTCTTCCATTTCCTCAGCACCCTTCCTCTCTCCTCTGATGTCCACTCTTGCTTTCCACTTCACACAGAATATTGTGGTCAATATTGTCTCCACCGGCTTCCTGTTTCTCAACCCCAGGCTCTCTCCTGTCCACAGCCAGCCCCTCACTCCTGCCACCTAAGAGGATAAGAGTCCTCTGTCCCCAACCTCCACCTTCTCCATCTTCAGTTTTCCTCTGGTTATAAATTTGCACAAGGGTATTTCACTAAAAAAAAAAGTAAAGAGTAAAGATGACTCTCAAACTATATGGCCACACCCCATGAAGGACACCCCAGCCCTTTCAAACATTCTTCCCACCCCAGTGTTTTGCCAAGATCATCTTTGCTAATTTAAATACCTTCCTATTCCCCATGGCCACCTGCTGTATCTCCTCTCACTTGACTGACCCACGTCTTACACAGGACACTAGTGATGTCAGGCCCCAGCCCGAAATGTCTCATCTCACTGTGGTATCCAACAGTGTGGAGTCTGCTCTCCTCACAGCATCCTGCTCCCTAATTTCTGGGTCTCTCCATGCTCCTGCTTCTTTTTTAGTGTATTTTTCTTTCTTTCTTTTCTTTTTTTTTTTTTTTTTGGTGGTGCTGGGGATTGAACCCAGGGCCTGTGCATGCAAGGCAAGCACTCTACCAACTGAGCTATATCCCCAGCCCAGTATATTTTTATTAAAGTGGTGCATGTACATATTTAGAGAAAAATCAAATAAAATGCAAAAATAAATAATGCAGAATAGAATCGGATCTTCCTTTCTTTATCCACCCTTCGGTTCTGTTTCTCTAGAAGCACCTGGGTTTTCTTCTTTTCTCCTTTCTCTGTTTTCCCAGTAACTTAATCAGGGAAATGACAAGGTCAGATTCTCAAAGCTGATGGACAAGAATGAGCGGTCTGGCTGCAGTTTGGGGAATGGATTACTGGGGGCCAGGTTGGGAGGCCAGAGGGAGTGAGGGGAAGGAGTGAAGTCAAGGTTAGGGGACAGAGGTTCCCAACTGGAGGTGAGGGTGAGGCACCCTCCTGAAGAGCCCAGAACCTGGGTACATGAACGCACCATCTCCTGAGGGGGAGCCACAATCTATAGTGGTTTGGGGGAGTCTGGAGCTGTGTCGGCACACGGAGTGTCTGGGGCCTTCTGAGAGGGCAACCAGCACTCGGGAGTCCAGGCTGGAGGGTCGCACCTAGAGCCCTGGGCAGGTGAGAGGATGGGACTCTTCAGAGAGACCTGGGAAGCTGCGGCCATGCACAGGGACCTGCAGCGAGGGTTTGCTTGGTCTCTACATTTTAAGAACACTTAAGTTAGTAATTAATTTCAGAATAGAAGGATTTCATATACAGATCTAGATGTCTAGCTTTTCTTGAAAAATTAGGGTCTCTGGCCGGGCCTGTGGGCCTGCCTTCTCACTTCGGAGCCATCTGTAGAACTGAGGCAGCTGGACCACGTATCTGGGTCCCCCAGGCCATTTGTGTGTTCCTGCCTGGTTTAGGTTGTGGTGCTGGGGATTGACCCCAGGATCCTGTGCGTGCTAGGTAGGTGCTCTCCCACTGAGCTGCACCCCTAACCCTTTTATTTTTTTATTTCGAGACAGGGTCTCCTTAGGTTTTTGTGGCTGGCCTTGAACTTGCAACCCATCCTTTTGCCTCAGCCTCCTGAGTAGCTGGGAGCAAACCACCCTGCCCAGCTCTTCTGTGGTTTTATCTATTTATTTATTTATTGGTACTGGGATTTGAACCCAGGGTGCTTAACCACTGAGCCATCCCCAGCCACCCCCCGCCCCCTTTTTATATGTTATTTAGAGACAGGGCCTTGCTGAGTTGCTAAGTGCCTTGCTAAATTGCTGAGGCTGGCTTTGAACTCTCAATCCTCCTTCCTCAGCCTCTAGAGTCACTGAGATGACAGGTGAGCGCCACCATGCGAGGCTTCCTGTGTGGTTTTGAGGCATCTGAATTGGTCCTCCCCACACCACAGAGGCCAGGACTGAGCAGGGGAGTAACCAGGAGAGCTGGGAAGGGAGAAGCCAGGTGTAGGTTAAATCCTGGAAACCAAAAAGGAGGTGAGATCAGATGGGAAAGAGCATAGACATGAGCAGTACGAGGTGACTGAGCGCACAAGCCATCTCTCTTGGCTGAGGGGAGGGTGAATGGAGTGGCTGGTGAAGAGGGAGGTTTTTTTTTTAAGGTAGGAGAGACTTGGCCATGATTCCACAGATTGAGCATCCCTAATCTGAAAATATGAAAAGCTCCAAAATCCACAACTTTTTTGAGCATGAAATTGACACTCAAAAAGTTTCAGACTTTGGCATTTTCAATTTCAGATTTTCTGGTGAGGGAAGCTTAAAATCTGTGCAGATATTCCAAAATCTGAAAAACCCCCAAATCGGAAACACTTTGGATCCCAGGCATTTCAGATAAGGGGTACTTAGCCCGTGTAAAGACAGAGAAGGCAAGAGGGAGGGGTTTGGCAGAATGTCCTGGAACATCCGAAGATTGAGGGTCTAGAATGTAGGTGGAGCCATCTTCATGCCCTGTGGGGTACTGGGGACCCTGAGTAACTCCGTGAGGGACTCAGGTTTCAGGCTGGGCTGCCTGCTAGGTCTCCAGGAGGGCTGGTCAGAGAGTCCCCTAGGGCTGGAGCCTGGCTGTATCCTGGCATTTCTGGTCACTTCTCCTTTCTACCCACTACCAGACCCACGGGCCCCGTTCCTTCCCCTCAGCTAGGAGTGGTCCCCAATTCCATCCAGGAGTCCCAGATACCTGCACAGTGACTTATCTTACTTTCTTCAGGTCTTTGTTCAAATACTGCCTTGTCAGCAGGGCCTTCCCTGATCATTCTTTTTAAAAATCACAGTCTCAGACATATTCGTGTGTGTGTGTGTGTGTGTGTGTGTGTGGTGCTGGAATTGAACCCAGGACCTCATGCACACAGGGCACGCACTCTACCACTGAGCTGCACTCCGGCCCCTAGATCTATTCCAAGCCTGACTTTTTTCTGTGGCTTGTTTCCACCTGACACATTATTTAGCTGCTGTTGTCTGTCTCCTCCATGGAATGCAGGCTCCTTGGGGGAGGGGACTTTAGTCCATGGCAGAATTTTTCCAGCGCCTGTGGGCTGTGTGGCAGGCGGTGCATGTCTGTGTGCTGACTGAACAGGAGACCGTGTGGGCCTGTAGTACAGATGAGGAAGGGAGCCCGGGGAGGGTCGGCGACTGCCTTGGGTGCACCTGTGTGGTCTTCACTCTCTGTGTCTGGGTCAGAAAATACATATTTTGAGTCTGAAGAACAGGATTTGGTTCATGGACAGCAGAAAGGATTTTTCTCTTAGTCCAAGAATGCGGGCTTAGAATGACATTTCTAGGAATTGATGTATCTAATAACTACGCGGTTGACCTCAGTTGGCTCTGACCCTGTGTCAGGTGCTCTGGAATCCTCAGACGATAGTAACAGTAGTGGGTTTCCTGTAGGGTCCCCATGTGTCATTAGAGACTGAATTATGTTGGCCTAGAGAAGTTAACCTGCCCAAGGCCAGGCAGATGGGAGGCATCAGGACTGGGAGCTAGATGTCTGTCCATCTGACTCCAGAGTCCGTGGCGCCAACCACTGCTCTGTCCTGCCTCTCCTCCCATAGGCATTTGCATCAAATGTGGGCTCGGCATCTATGGAGCGAGGCAGGCGTGCCAGGCGATGGGGAGCCTGTACCACACCGACTGCTTCATCTGTGACTCCTGCGGTAGGTAACCCCTTCCCTGTCCCTCTTGAACCCCAGGCACCCAGTTCCTAGGGTTATCATACTCTCAGACATATTCTTGTATGTGTGTGTGTGTGTGGTGCTGGAATTGAACCCAGGACCTCATGCACACAGGGCACGCACTCTACCGCTGAGCTGCACCACCCAGGGCTGGGGATGTGGAGCTCTGGCCCAGGCTGGAGTGTGGAGTAGGCTGGTCACAGTCTTACTGTGCACATGGGTCTGGCCTGTTTGAGAGGTACAGGCTCTGGGGAGATCTGCTAGGGCCTGGGTGGGGAGCCATGGAGTCACTGAGGTGTAGGGAAAGGCTGTCCCTCTGCTCCCCCGCTTTGGGGTCTCCACCCTGTGCAAGGTGCTGGTGTCTGCCAGGGAGCAGGTGTGGAGCCCGTGACAGTCTTCTGGACATAGGCCTGATACTCTATTTCCTGCCCTTTATTTTTGGTCCCTATTTTACACACAGTGTAAACTATAAATTTTGTAATTTAACTTAAACAAAATTATAAAACTAAAAAAGTAACTGTGATCCAATAGATTCTATATTCTTGATTTTCCCACTGTTCTTCCAGACCTTCTGAAGCAGACATCTTTTATTTGTTTGTGCTAAACATTTTAACCTTTTATTACAGAATAATGTATGCAAAGTGTTATATTAAACAGTTCTCTTTTCCTTAGTACTAAGGATTGAACCCAGGGGTACATTACCACAGCTACATCCCCAGTCCTGTTTTTTTGTTTGTTTTTAATTTTGTTCTTTTTAAAAAATTTTTATTTTTTTAAATTTTATTTATTTTTTTAGTGTTCAGTGGACACAATATCTTTATCTTATTTTTATGTGGTGCTGAGGATCGAACCCCGTGCCTCACATGTGCAAGGCAAGTGCTCTACCACTGAGCCACAATTCCAGCCCCCTTTTTTTTTAACTTTTTAATTTTGAGACAGGGTCTCACTGAGATGTTGAGTTTCTCACTAAGATCCTGAGACCAGTCTTGAACTTTTGATCTTCCTGCCTCAGTCTCCCCAGTTGCTGGGATTATAGGCATGTCGTGGTGCCTGGCCTGAGAAGTATCTTTTTTGTTACCAGGCGTAAAACCCAGGGGCACTTAACCACTGAGCCACATCTTCAGCCCTTTTTTATATTTTTAATTTAGGTGTCTCTCTTAAAAAAAATGTTTTCTTCCAGTCGGATGCTTTCCCAGCGATTTAGGAGGCAGGAGAATTGCAGATTCAGGCCAGGCTCAGCAACTTAGTGAGATCCTGTCTCAGAATACAAATAAAGAAATAAATAATGGCTGGGGGTACAGCTCAGTGGTAGAGCAACCCTGGGTTTAATCCTGGTGCTGGGGGAAAAAGAAAAAGGCTTTTTCTTATAACGCTTTATTTTCTTGCTTTATTATACCTTCAGGGTTCCCCCACACCACCAAATGTTCCACTTACCCCTTTCCCTGTGGGGAGCCCCTTGTCAGTCTGAGCCAGTTGCCTTCTAGCTCTCATGAAGCACTCCTTCTGTCCCTTCCCATGCATACTCTCCGGATTGAGTTCACTATTTTCTGCAGGCGTTCAGCTGCCGCTAACAGGGAAGCTGCTGGGGAAGCCTCAGTTCTGAGCCCCTGAGAGGCCTGGCTGCAGGCAGGGTTTGTTCTAGTGGTTCAGGTCCTGTGATTTTCTCAACAGAGTTGCCCTTAGTTTTGGGTTCATCCTTAGGACAATTTCTCTCATTAGTGGTGAGATGTCCAGGTAGCAGCTGGAGACTTCAGTTTCATTCTACCCGTCTGGGGAAAAGTGAGATGTCTCTTCTGGGCAGTGCCTTGCAGTAGGGAAACTTCTTTTCTAGAAATTGCCTACCAGACCTCTTTGTGTCTCATTGGTCAGGTCATCTCACACATCCATACCTGAACCAATTCCTGTGGCTGGTGGGTGTGCTGTGATTTGATTGACAGACTTGCCTGAGTCTCTGAACCAGTACTCTGTATGGGTAAAGGAATCCAGGCTTATGGGTGGATGTGCAGTGAGTTCAGGTTCTATGATAAAGCAGCAGCCAATAGTGTGGCTAAATTCTGATGCCTCCCCCCTGCCCATGAGGGATTGAACCCAGAGGTGCTCAACCACTGAGCCACATCCCCAGCCCTTTTTATTTTTTTGAGACAGGGTCTTACTAAGTTGCTTCAAGCTTTGCTTTGCTGTATTGCTGAGGCGCGCCTTGAACTCGAAATTCTCCTGCCTCAGCCTCCCATCCACTGGGATTACCATCATGCCTGGCTAGAAAAATATACCTTAAAATAAAAAAAACCACGACGATTCTCATAATCAGTTCTTCTATTTAGCTTTTTCCTGGACAGCCTAGTCATTAAAGTGGACAAAGGTAAATGCCATAATCTTGCATAGGTATATTCAATAGTGTAGAGATGTCAGTTTTTCCTAAATTGATCTAGAAATGCATTAGAGTTCCAATCAAGCAGATTTTCATGACTTTGACAAGCTAATTCTAAAATTTGAATGGATAAGCAAAGGACTACAAATCGTCAAGAAGATCTTTTAGGAAGAAAAACAAGTTCTAGAACCTTCTACTACTCGGTATCAACACATATTGTAGATTAATTATTGTGTTAGCTTTTCAGCCCCGTGACTAAAATATCTGACAGGAACAACTTAGAGGAAGGAAACTTTCTTTTGGGCTCACTGTTTCAGAGGTTCAGTTCATGGTCCACTGACTTCATTGTTCTGATCCTGAGTGAAGCAAAACATCATGGTGAGCGGGCTCCCAGCTGCCGTGAGGGTAGCTGCTGAGGAAAGCAACTCAGCTCCTGGCAGCCAAGAAGCAGAGAGAGTGAGCAAGCAAGGAACCAGGGACAGATGGAGTCCGGTGGCATGCCATGGTAACCCACCTCTTCTAGCCATTTCCACTTGCCTACAGTTACCCCCCAGTAGTCCTTTCCGACTATTAATCTAAACACTGATACTTGCCTAATATGTGAGCTCTTCAGGGGACATCAGAGGTCCAAACCATAACAGTTACTTTCCTGGGTGTTGATGCAAAGATAAACAGACCTGCAGGACAAAATAGAGAGTCCAGGGCCGGGCATGGTGGTGCACACCTATAATCCCAGGAGCTCGGGAGACTGAGGCAGGAGGATCACGAGTTCAAAGCCAGCCTCAGCAACAGTGAGGTGCTAAGCAACTCATTGAGACCCTGTCTCTAAATAAAAAAAATACAAAATAGGGCTGGGGATGTGGCTCAGTGGTTGAATGCTCTGAGTTCAATCCCTGGTACAAAAAAAAAAAAAATGCAGAGTCTAGAACCCACTCACGTCCACATGGAAACTTGATAGATGATAGAGGTGTCATTATAAATGGTTCTGGAAAAATTGGTTATCCATGTAAAAAAAGAAATCAAATCCAGATGTAGCAAATATTTAATGTGAACAGCAAAACTTGATACTTTTTTTTTTTTTGGTACTGGGTACTGGGAGTGAAATCAGGGGCATTGACCACTGAGCCACATTCCCAGCCTTATTTTGTGTTTTATTTAGAGACAGGGTCTCACTGAGTTACTCAGCACCTCACTTTTTCTGAGGCTGGCTTTGAACTTATGATCCTCCTGCCTCAGCTTCCTGAGCCCCTGGGATTACAGGTGTGGGCCACCATGCCCAGCGAAACTTGATACTTCTAGGAATAAAGGGACCATATGTTTATTGACCAGTCTTCTGGTAAGAAGGTTTTGTTTTGTTTTTGTTTTTCCTTAGTCACACTGAATGTAAAAGCAGAGACCGACAATGACAATTTTGGCTGCATTGGAATTAAAATACTCATCAGTGTGGTGCTCGCCTGTAATTCCTGCCACTTGGGAGGATGAGGCAGGAAGATCACAAATTTCAGGCCTCGGCAACTTAGCAAGTTGTCTCGAAAAATGAAAAGGGTCTCGGGATGTGGCTGAGTGGTGAAGTGCTTCTGGGTTCAATTCCTAGTATAAATAGATGGATGGATGGTTAGATTCCTGGCTGGCTGGAGGTGTAGTTCAGTGGTAAGAGCGCTCCCTGGCACGTTTCCAATACTGCAAAACAAAAACCAAAACCAAACAAGGGCTGGGGTTGTGGCTCAGAGGTAGAGCACTTGCCTGGCATGCATGAGACAGTGGGTTCAATCCTCAGCACCACATAAAAATCAAAATAGATATTGTACCAACTAAAACTAAAAAAAAAAATTAGAAACAAAAAGAACTTATTTTTTAAATGGTGCCATGATGCGAGGGGCAAGCAGTAGCAACAAAAGCAATACACTGCCATATGTACACCTTCAAGGATTACCGCTTAGAATATAGAAAGTACAGAAAATGTAGTGTTTTTATAGTTTGCTGTATTTAGGTGTGTTTTCCTTTATTTGTCCTGCTTGGGACTCATTGTGATTCCTGATTATTCAAGTCTTTTATTGACTTGGGGAAAATCTCAGCTGTTTTATTTTCCAAAATTGCTTCTGTCTTATTCTCAGTTATTTCCTTCTAGGATCCAAGTGAGAAATATGAGGCTTTCTCATTCTTGTGTGTGTGTGTGTGTGTGTGTGTGTGTGTGTGTGTTTTAAGAGGAAGTACTAGCTGGGCACAGTGGCTCACACCTGTAATCCCAGCAGCTCAGGAGGCTGAGGCAGGAGGATCATGAGTTGAAAGCCAGCCTCAGCAAGAGTGAGGCACTAAGCAACTCAGTGAGATCCTGTCTGTAAATAAAAAAGAACAAAACAGGGCTGGGGATGTGGCTCAGTGGATGAGTGCCCCTGAGCTCAGCCCCTGGTAACCCTCCCCCAATAAATAAAAAGAAAGAGGAGGTTATGCTGTGCCACCTGGGCTAGCCTTGAGCTTGTGGTCCTCCTGCCTCCTGATTCCCCGGGAGCTGGGTTACAGGCACCTAGTGCAGTTCTGTCTCTCAACCTCCCCTTCATATTATCCACTTCTCCATCTCCCTTTGTTGTATTTTTTTTACTCTCTTTGTTTCCAT